CACAAAGTTTCACCATCTTGGTCAGGCTGGCCTTGAACTCCTGACCTCATGATCCACCCGCGTCAGCCTCCCAAAGTGCTGGGATTACAGGCATGAGCCACCACGCCCCACCGACTCATCTGTGTTTTATGCTGAATGTAGATCCACTGAGGTAAGGACTTGGTTTTGTTGAGTATCATACCCTTGGAAGTTAGTGGATGGCGCATAATAGATACTCAATTAACATGTGGGGAATAAGTGAATGAAGGAAAGCACCACTTTCTTCTTCCCAGAAGCCTTTTCTTTCCAAGATCAGTTATCCATCATCTCTCATCTCGAAGACTTCAGCTGGGGGTCCCAACTGAACTAGATCCCAGGCATTGGTGTAGATACCCCTCAAATCTAATCTCTACCTTGAGTTATCTTTCTAGAATCCAAATCTGTTGCGTCACCTCTCCACTTAAAATGCTGCAATAAGTTTCTCACTATTCTTAGGATGCAGTCCAAATTTTAAAATGAGGCTGGGAAGGTCCTTTTAATCTGGCCCCAACCCATCCCTCCTGTCCAAAGCAGCCGTAGGACACACTCTGTGTGCCCAGCTCCGTCTCGCACACCCACCAGACTGTGTGGCAAGCTCCTAACTCACTCAGCAGGTCTCAGCTTAAGTCTTCCATTTGTTCTTCACCACTACCCCATATTCCCTTATTATCACGGTTACACCTGTTGGATTATCTGTCGTTTGGCCAGCAGGCTTGCCCGTCTTGTGACAAGACACCTGTGTCCCTGGTCACATGTATCCCTGGCTGGCACTTCCTCAAGGTGGCAGCAAGGAGATTTCTATTGGATAAACATATTTTATTTTGTGCTAGGTTCAGTGCCACACTCTTTGTAATTCTCCACTTCATTATCTCATAGATGAGAGAGAAGCTGAGGCTCAGCGGGGTGAAGTAGTTTGCCCAGGGTTAGGATTCCAATGCGAGTCCAGGGACCCTGCAGTCTGCTTCTGTCCACTGTGCTGCATAGTGGTCTTGGCCTTCCCTTTCTAACAGAGAAGCCGAGGCAGCACACCTGCGTCTGAGGGCCCCAGTGGCGTGCACATCTGTTACCTCAGGAAGAAAGAATGTCTGGGGAGATGGAATTTGCAACCGGTTAAAAAGGACTGCACACACAAATAGCAATAAAGCCTCTTGAACTCCAGAGTAAAGGAATGTAGGTCAAATAATTGCCCTGCCCAGTGTCTCCCTCTCCCTCTATTACCCAGCTCCTCTCATTTGCATATATGAGGCCCCAAGTGGAAGACGACTTGGTGGGAAATTCCAGAAGCTTTGCAACTGTCATGGAAACCAAAAGCTGAAGAAATAAGAAAGGGATTTTAAAATCACTGTTTTAACTCATGATTATTCTAATTTAAAAGCTCAGATTTAGTAATGTGTTGAGAGTCAACGAGGCATAGAAAACTGTAGCAGGCCCCTGGAAAAATAAGTCTTGTATGGCTGTTTTTTTGTTTTGTTTTGTGTGTGTGTGTGTGTGTGTGTGTGTGTGTGTGTTTTGTTAAGACAGAGTCTTGCTTTGTCGCCCAGGCGGTAGTGCAGTGGCATGATATCAGCTCACTGCAACCTCCGCCTCCTGGGTTCAAGTAATTCTCATGCCTCAGCCTCCCAAATAGCTGAGATTACAGGTGTGCACCACCACACCAACTCATTTTTGTATTTTTAGTAGAGACAGGGTTTCACCATGTTGGCCAGGCTGGTCTCGAACTCCTGACCTCAAGTGATCCACTTGCCTCGGCTCTCAAAGTGCTGGGATTACAGGCGTGAGCCCCTGTGCCTGACCTTATTTGGCTGCTATGAAAACAAAGCAAATCATGATAATGAAGAAGAAAAAGATGAGGAAAAATAACTAACATTAATTATGAGCCAGGTACACACACTGCCACTTAATCCTTCTAAAAAGCCTTTGAAGTTAGGTAGTATTAATACTCCCATGTTACAGATGTCAAAATTAAGGCACAGAGAGGTCAAGTAATTCGCTCAAGGTCACACAGCTAGGAGAAACAGAAAAGACGAGGATCCATCCAGTCCAGCTGTTTCCAAAACCTGCTCTTATTCTGCAATGCCAACTTTCCAGTTTGTGTAATACTAATTGTTAAATAAAATTTATAGGAGGCCACTGGTTTGAACTAAGCTCCTGTGCTAGGCCCAACAGACCAAAACCAAAATAGGGTTATTCATGCAGAAGTTCCATGCTACCAAGTTGAAATTGAGTTGTTCATCTGACCTTTCAGAAAACCAGGAGAGAAAGGTAACAGCCAGATTCTCGAACAGGCCAGTTTTAGCAGCATGATAAGGAAGCCTCCTCTGATTTAACTTTTGCAAAGAAAGTAACGAAAACAAACAATCCATTTTCTGCTCCCTCTTGCTGCTTTCCTCAGCCCTTTCCTGTCTATAAAGTCAACTTCCTCTGCTCAGCTTATTGGAATACTCATTCTGTTCTATAGAATGAGGCATTGCCTAATTCTAGAATTGCAATTAAAAACCAAAGATCTTTACATTTGCTTGTAATTTTGCTTTTTGAGAAATGTAAATGACATTTTCTAATAGTTAAGATTTACATTTTTTTCCAGAAGCATTTATTTCAAAATACAGCACAGAATTAGACTAATAACATTTCAGTACTCATTTGTATCTTACCAGTGTGTTCTTCACAATAAGAAACTGCATGAAGTTGGTATTCTGCTTAATTCATTTTAAAGTAAAAATCGAAAGGAAAAAAGAAAAATCCTTTGGAGGGAGAATCTGAAGGTAAGACTGAGGAAATTACAAGTGACTGTAGAATTTCCACATTTTAACCTAACAGAAACTAAAGGACATCCAATAAAATCAAGTTTTACAATGATGTGCTAGATACTGTTACCAAGAGGGACAAAATAAACATTCAGGTTCAAAAGCATGCAACAGCCTTACCAACCTATAAACAGTATGCTGCAGAAATGAGTGGTACTATTGCCTCCTATTAATCTAGAGGATTTTACACACGAAACAAAACAAAAAAACTGCTGTTTATGTAAAAAATAACTGTGAAGAGTTTGAGGTTGAACAATGGAGATGTAGATCTCCTGGGCAACAGAAAGCCTAAGACCAAACATAACAGGAAAAGGCAGTTTAGTCACGGAAAACTAGAATAATTCAGTAGCTGCTTAAGTCCTCGTTCTAACTAAATGACGTCATTTGGAAGAAAGACACTGTGGTGCTTGTCCAGAAAATTTCAGTCATTTCCCTTCCTATCACACAGAGTATATGGTTTTAGTTTTACCTCCCTTTCGTGATTTTTGCCTTGGTACTGTTTAAGGCATTCACTTCGCCATGGTCAATGTCAGGTCTCTCTGCCACCAAAATATTTAACAGGTCAGTACTTTGCTGTAAGACAACGGTTCTCAATTCTTTGCATTGCATCTTATGTCTCAAATCAAAACTCCACATTTTTTTACAATCATGATCATGAACTAATAAGTGTCACAGGAAGAGGGGGCTATAGCTAAGCAGATGGCTTTCTCCCTGTCACCTACAGGTGTCATTGCTCCAGTCATGCTATGTTCACATTTTACATCTCTGCTTTCCTCTGGCAAATCTGGGAAGGCTGGGTGCATGATCACTCCTCCTTGGCAGGTATCCCTTGCAAGTGGCACGTCAAAGACTCAGTGAGTTCCAACCAGTCATTTTGTGCCAGCCCAACAACCAAGACTCCTCTGATTCCTCACTGCTCCCCCGCTCTCTCCCCGTAGCTTCTGATGATTTGACATGTTTTATATGGCTTATATTTCTGCCATTCTCTCTTCCTCTGCCCCCACCTTGTCTTAGTTCAGGAGTACTTTTTCTTAAAACTAGTATGTGTTCTCACCACCACTCCCCAGCAAACCTCTTACATTCCATCTTCTACACTGTGTCCGGTGATTTATCCAACCTGCAGATTTGTGGCCCTGCCCAAATCCAAGCACCTTAGCACACACAAGGCCTGCTATGATCTACTTTTTGCCTCCATCCTTGCTTTTGGTGGTTCACCAAACCTTAGTTCTTATACCTTCATATGGCTTGCTTCCTTTAAAATGTAGATTACCTCAGTGATTTTGATTCATTATGCCTGGGGAGAGGCCCAGAATCTGCACATCAAATGCTTCTAGTATATATTTGATGCAGCAAAACCCTGGAGAAACATTGCTCCACAGCCTCCCTCTTACCATTGACTTCCCTCAACACATCCAACTCCCTGGCCATATGGTCCCCAATGCAAACTGCTCTTCCATGTCTCTGCAGTTTTACATACACTGTTCCCTCTGCCTGGAATGTCTTCTTCCACCTCCTCCTGGCAAATTCTAATTATTTTTCAGGACCCAGCTCAAGATTCTCCTCCTCTAACCTACTCAAATGAAGTGAACACTTACTTCTGCCTACCACTGTGTCTACAACAGTTTTAACACGTGTATTACTCAGTCCAGGGACTGTCTGCATGTCAGAGACACCTCTGTCTGGGTATTAGAGGACCCTGACTGGCTGTGATGTCCTGGGCAAGTGACTTGGCATCCATAAGTCTCATCTGTAAATTGAGCCAAGAGAAGTACCTATCCCATTCACCTGTTGGTACCATCCTGGGAAGTATTATTACTAGTGAGGAAATGAAGGCAGAGAGATTGAGTAAATTTCCAAAGATCACATAGCTAGTGAGTGGAAGAGCTGGGGATTAGCCTTGAAGCAGTCTGGCTCATGCCCACATTCTTAACCACTGGAGACCTAGCTTCCCTACTAGGAAATAGGCTGGCTAAGGAAGGTTAGTTGGGCTGCCAAATGTCTAAGTTTGGTTTTATCCTGCTCGAAGGTCACAGCTAGTCTTTAGCAGACCGTGTTTAGCCAAAGAATTGGAGCAGGAACAGGGAGGGCTAAGGGACTTATTAACCATATCTATGTCCCAACTCCATAGAGCAGTTTACTTTACTGATTCCATGGTTTCTGTCCTGCTCTCTTAGGTCTTCCCATTCTACCTCACACTTGCAAGATCAAACACAACATCGCTTCTTCTGTGATGTCAGAGTCCCCAGGCCAATCAAATCAGAATCTCTAGGAGTGGGTCCCTGATGCTCATGCTTTTTAGGAGGGCATCACCCATCATCCCAATAAGCAGCCAGAATTGGAAACCACCGCCAGGAGCCTTTCCCCTCCCTTGGGCAGCTTCTTCCATCTTGAGAACATCTTTGTGGTGAGACCTACCATTTTATTATAATACTATCTTTTGGCCTCTCCTAGGGGTCCCTAATGATTTTTGTGCCATGGAGAGCCCCTCTGGCACTCTAGAGAAGCCTGTGGACCCCTTCTCAGAATGGTATTTTTACATGCATATAGTAAAAAACAGGATTACAAAGAAAACCAATTATATTGAAATGCAAATATATTGGCCACTAGAGATGAGTTATTTGGCTTTGACCTGGAGGTTAGGAATCTAGTCTTTTTGTGTATTGGGGTCTAACACACACTTGGTAGTCAAAAAATTCTTGTTGGAAGAAAAAAAAAAAGTCAAGAATAAGCCACACCTACTCCCTGTTGAGAATCACTGTATTAGTAGCAGAAAAGTTCTCTACCTGGGGGAGACTTCAGCAATACACCAGTGCAGCGCTATGAGACCCAACTGTTACGCAATTCACTTCTGAATCAAGCTATTAAACACCTGAAAATCGAAATGTTGGCAGCCTTTTAAAGAAATCATAAAATTAAAACTCTGAACATGGTATTATCACTTAGAAACTTTGCAAAATCTTCCTCTCTTACCTATCAGAAACTGTAGAGGAGGGAAGCTATGGCTGACTCAGGTTTCTGTACTCAAATGAGAAAAGGTAGGGATTTGAATTTTGTTCTTGCTCTGGGAGGCAGAAAAATGCCCCCATCCTCCCATATGTTTATGTTCTGATCCCCAGAATCTGTGAATATGCTACTTTACCTGGCAAAAGGGACTCTGTAGATGTGATGACGTTAAAGGTGTTGCTATGGGGAGAGTATCTTGTACCTGGGTGGGCCCATGTAGTTACATGGGTCCTCATAAGAGAGAGGAATGAGAGTCATAGAAGAGGTATGATGATAGAAGTGGGGGTCAGAATGATGTGGGGCCGTGACCCAAGCAATGTAGGCAGCCTCTAGAAATTGGAAAAGGCAAGGAAACAGTTCAGGCACAGTGGCTCATACCTGTAATCCCAGTACTTTGGGGGGCCAAGGCAAGTGGATCATCTGAGGCCAGGAGTTTGAGACCAGCCAGGGCAACATGGTAAAACCCCATCTCTATTAAAAATATAAAAATTAGCTGGGCATGGTGGCACATGCCTGTTATCCCAGCTACTAGGGAGGCTGAGGCATGAGAATTGCTTGTAACCAGGAGGCAGAAGTTGCAGTGAGCTGAGATGGCACCATTGCACTCCAGCCTGGGCAACAGAGTGAGACTCAGATTCTCCGCCAGAGCCTGCAGAAGGAATCGGCCCTGTCAAAAATCCGATTTTAGCCTGTAAGACCATTTCAGACTTCTGGCCTTCAGAAGTATGAAATAATAAGTATGTGTTGTTTTAACTTGCCAAGTTTGTGGCAATTTGTTAATGAGGCAATAGATAACAAATACATCTGCCTGTATGAAACAGGCAAGAAAATGGCCAACAGACACAAGATGAGAGAAAGAACCAAGTGCAAAGGTTGGCTTTATCCTTTATGCCAGGGGTTTTTGATCCTGATGGCATGTTAAAACCACCTAGGAAGCTGAATTAGAGAGAGAGAGAGAGAGAGAGAGAGAGAGAGAGCGAAAGCATTGAGGGGTGGTGGAAGGAAGGGAGGGAGGCGGGGAGAGAGAGAGAGAGGACAAGCGTGCACATACTAATGCTAGGGTCCTAAGTGAATCAGAATATCAGAATCTTAGGGTGGGGGAGTGTGATTTCTTGGATCTGAACATGTTAAACACACTCAAGGATTATGATACATAGGGAGGGCTAAGAACTCTGCTGCACATTAACATAAGTAGGGTGAGTTACAATTTGCACACAGCTCTTTTCATCCAAGGTAAAAAATACACTAGTTGCAAACATTTTCATTAATGCTTATAAGACCATTGTGAGTCAAGGAGATGGCAAATGCACAATGAAAACAAGCAAGGAGAATAAAGCAGGTTGCTTAAGGCTACGGACAAATTCCTGACTTGGTTAAAAATTGCATCCAAATTCTTTCTAAAATTTCAATTCAGTACTCTAGCCACAAGAACAGAACACATCTCCACACCCCACCCCACATAAAATCTCCATTCCAAAAAGAAACTGTCAACTTGTAAATAAATATGAAAACCAAAGACCTGAACAATGGTTAAAGCATTTGCATGTTTAAAAATTTTCTTGTTAAAATCTTGTAAATGACAAGCCAGCCATTTCAAATCCTTACTAGAGATGAACAAGAGAACTGTAGCCACTTCCCTTCTAGGCCAATGACTAAAAACTAACCAACAACTAAAATGCCAACTAATTGCGTGAATGAAATACAGGTATCCAAGCAAATGAAACTCTACTATTAAATTTATGATGTCTAAAATGTCTGTACCCAAACCATAGATTATCAAAATGATAACAACATGTCACCATTTCTGAAGCCTGTATTATGTTCAGGACAACTGTCAAGTGCTTGACCACATACAATCCTTTGACAGCCTTGCAATACCAGCGTTCATTCTCACATCCACGATGAAGGAACTGAGCTCCGCAGGGTGAGACACTTCAGTGGTACAGCTGGATTATTCTCAGCAACTGACACAAGAACAGAAAACCAAACACTGCATGTTCTCACTGATAAGTGAGTGTTGAACAATGAGAATACACAGGGAGGGAACATCTCACAATGGGGTCTGGGGGGTGGGGGTCTAGGAGAGGAATAGCAGGGGGTTGGGGGATTGGGGAGGGATAGCATCTACCTAATGTAGATGATGGGGCTATGGAGGCAGCAAACCACCATGGCACGCATATGCCTATGTAACAAACCTGCACAATCTGCACATATACCCCAGAACTTAAAGTATAATACATAAATAAATAAATAAAAAGTGGTAGAGCTGAAACTCAAAGCCAAGTCTGTCCTTTGCCCAAAGCCATGCTCTTCCACATTGCCTGAGTCTCCTCTGCCTCCATATCTTTGGGGCACAGCCTGGCACTTGACAGGCCCCCTAACAAAGGCTCATTGAACTGAGCTGAATACAATACAAGGAGGCACTATCAGTACCAACTCCATCATCTCCAGAAATGAACAAAGGAATTGTACTAAAAAGAGATGCCCATGGAATTCTAATCTTTAAAAGAAAATGAGTCATTTTTTTTTTCTAGGCCCAAGATAGACACACACAGATAAGAATAATTATTATGGGCACACATGTTCATAGCCCAAATAGAATATGACTTTTTTTTAAATGTCAAAAATTAAATAAGAATATTACCCAGCATTCCATTTTCCAGGATTTTCAAAATAAATTGAGATTTTTTTTTCATTAAGATAAAAGTATTTTCTAATAATCACTGGGGAATAATCTGTATGATAATCAAAAGGGATTAATATATTCTCTCCCTTGTTCTTTATAAATAACAGATTCCTCTCTCACTAATACTACCCTGTTTTGTAGACAGATAAGTGAATACAACTGATAAGAAAGGCCAACAAGGAAGGGGGAAGGCAAAGGAGGCCACAGGCTTCAGCTCTGATGTTAAGACCCTGTGAAGGATGTTTTCCAGGCTCCCTTCTCACCTGGCTCCCTGCCAGATCCTGTCGATGGGAGGCACAGGGGAACAGCCAGTGGGAGGAGAGCTCAACTCCTGTGGGATACCCCTCCAGCAGCTGCAGAGAAAGCTGGCCCTCAGGCACCCCTGCTGTGATTTGACTGGGGCTGCCAGATGCCCCAAGCAGGACTCTGTCTCCCCTCCCTGAGGGCTATGCCTGAGCCACAGCGGGTACCTGCCAGGAAGGTTCTGGTAACATTGCCTTTTCCCTTTTGTTGTCTTGGTCCCAGGGGTGGTGGCTGCTTCTTGCAGTTACTAGTCTCTGGGTTACCTTGGTGTCCACCTTGTGCTCTTTCTTTTTTTCACTTGTTTTACTGATTCCTTGCATTAAATCTGCTCCCTGAAATTCTTAGAATGGTTTTTTTTTGCTGACGGGACCCCGGGCTGATAGGACAATGAAACTGGGAGGTTAAACAGGAGACTGACTGTACCTCTCTGCACTGAGTGGTTGAATTTACTTCTTATCTGCACTGAGGTCCCTATTCCTTTGGGACAGTTCCAAGTCCACCTTATCCCCGTGTTCTAAGGCTATCTATTCAATTGCCTTTCACAAGAAGCCCCAGGCAAGGTGTGAGAGGTCCGCCCAGACTCAGCCCACATTCTGATTTCTCAGAAGCAGTTTAGGGCCAAACTTTCCACGCTGAGGATAACTGCATGATTCTAAAAAAAGAGTATTAAAACAAAAACATAAACAACTTTTTCACAACCCAATTTGGTTTAAAGGATTAAGAAACAAATCCTATTTTTAATGTAAAAATCTTTAAATAGCATCACAGAGGCAGAAAGCCAAAGCTTAGGGAAAAAAATTGCTTCTAAATGGACATAGACAATTTTGAAAATATGAAATGTGTATTTTACAACGTCAGATCCAAATGTGCAAAGAAAGATGGAAATAGCCTTTTTTTTTTTTTTTTTAGACAGAGTCTTGCTCTGTCACCCAGGCTGGAGTGCAGTGGCTCAATCACTTGGGTTCAAGCGATTCTCCTGCCCCAGCCTCCCAAGTAGCTGGTATTACAGGTGCACACCGCCATGCCCAGCTAAATTTCTGTATTTTTAGTAGAGATGGGGCTTTATCATGTTGGCCAGGCTGTTCTCGAACTCCTGACCTCAAGTGATCCACCTGCCTCAGTCTCCCAAAGGGCTGGGATTACGGGTGTGAGCCACGGCACTCAGCAGGTAATAGTCTTTTAAAGGAAGATGGTAACTTCACTCAAATTATTACCAAGAAAGGAAACCAAGCATATGAAAGACATACATTAACACATTCTAATGCTGCCCAAGTTCCTCTTTCATAAAAACGGTATCTAACTTACATCCAATAAAATGTTTCTATAAAAGCTAATATTTTAATGATTCACTAAAAGCATTTCTGATTTCCATGGACTTTGAGCCCAGCTGCTGAGTAGAGTCTCAGGAGCAGAGAGGAACATTCTTTCAGACCAGTGGATACTGAAGCTTTCCACTGAAAACATCCATTCCCCTAAAGTTGCCCCTGTCTTAATCCAAGTACAAAGTCCAGGGAGAGGGAGTCTTGGCTGGGGATTGAGAATGTGACCCTTCTGGTGGGGGGCGGGGGCGGGATAGTGGCAGCAAACAATGAGATCACCTGTTTGAGATGATTGGCTGGGATCCCCAGCTGCTTCTGATCACTGACTGCTCATCTTTCGGTAGAGCTACCCACAGGGTGGACTGCCCCTCCCAGGCTGATAGGATTGTTATGCTCACTACCATAGTTTTAGTGCTTATCATAAATCAGTAAATTGGCATTGCTATTTTACACATCGGGTTTGAAATCTTGGTTTATTGGGTACATCCCTGATAAATAAAATGATCTTTCTTGTGATAACAAAATCAGTTTCTGGGCTAGGAGGCTAAGGGTCAGACTCTGAAGTATGTAATCTTGTCATTCTCAAAGTATGATGCCCCAGACCAGCAGAATCAGCATTACCTGGGACTTGTTTGAAATGCAAGTTTTGGGGCCCAACTCTAGACCTCCTGAATCAGGACTGTGGAGCCCAGAAACTGTTTCAAACAAGTGTTCCAGGGGATTCTGATTCCTGCTTAAGTTTGAGCGCCACTAAATTGAAATGACAGTTATTTGGAGGTGGGTGGGTCTTATGGCCATGGTGCACAGTTATTTGTCAAGACCAGGTGAGATGTTGGTGTGAAGGTGTGCTTTCGATGTGATTCACATTTAAATCAATTTTGAGTAAAGCACATTACTCTCCATAAAATAGATCAGTCTCATTTAATCAGTTAAGACATTAAAAGAGTGAGGTCCCCTGAAAAGGAAGAAATTCTGCCTCCAGGCAGCCTTCAGACTCAAGATTACAGTATCAACTTTTGCTGGAATTTCCAGTCTGCTGGCCTGAACTTGCCAGCCCCCACAACTGCATGAGCCAATTATTTAAAATCATTCTCTGTCTCTCTCTGTCTCTGTCTCTCTCTCTCTCTACACACACACACACACACACACCCTGTATACATACACATGTACAGGTTGAGTATGTCTGATCTGAAATGCTTGGGACCAGAAGGGTCTCCAATGTTGGTTTTTGGAATATTTGCATTAATGCTTACTGGTGAGGCATCCCTAACCTGAAAATCTGAAACTCTCCAAAGCATTTCATATAAGTATCATGTCAGCCCTCAAAAAGTTTAGAATTTTAGAGCATTTTAGATTCGAGATTTTCAGATTATAGATGCTCAACTTTATATATATATTATGTAAATATATAATATATACATATATTATATATTATATATATATGTATTGTATATATGTACATGATATATACATGTATATATTATATAATATATACAGTAATATTATATATAATTTATTATTATTATAATCAATTATAATATTACATATATGGTATAATATATATAGCATACCCTATTGATTATGTTTCTCTGAAGAATCCTGATAAATACAGGGTTCATGTGTTCATATATTTAATGCATGTATCCTATATTAGGACTAGGATTTTATCTTTTTTATTTTTAGCACTGTATGTTCAGTGCCTAGTATATAGCAGTTAGTCTTGCCATGCATATTTTTGGTGAATGAATTAACTGTAGTGAGCTCACTGAGAAAGGGAATTGGATACTTTGGCCTTGAGGGTGGCCTCTTGGAAATCAGCCAACCCTGAAAATATCTCCTTCACTGAATTCCCTCTGGGTAATAAACCTCTCCTTGGGAATCTTCTAAAGCGTGCAGATGAACCAACAGGAAGTCACATCCAGCAACTGTATTGAGTATCTCTGTGTTTAATTCCTCACAAGTGAAAGAACCTCTACACTCAGCAGGTCCCCCTTTGGCTGTGTTTCTATCCACGGGCCGTGACTTGAAATGCAGTTGACTGCACCTGGCCCTTCTGTAATGCCTTGTATTTAGAACCAGTTTTAGAGTAGATCCTTATCCGTACTTTGTTTTTCTAGAAAGAGTGAAATTGAAAACTTAGCCTCAAATACCATCTATTTTAGCGTCAGCCCCAGTACACTAATCTAGGAAGGTGCTTTCCTGAGCAATGACACAGACTTTGAGGCCGACACTCCTCTCTACTCCCACGCCACACCCTCTGTGGGGCCAGCTCATCAGAACAGCAGCAGGGCTTAGCTGCAGGGGTTTTTGTAACACTGTTGAAGACCAGTCAAAAGTCATCTCGATAAGATTACTTTGAAACCTCCAGGACGGAAATTCCATCACTATATGAAATCAGAAAAAGTAAACATTCCTTGGTTCACCTTCATCATTCCCCTACATAAACTTCGATCAAATTTCTTTGAAACCATGCCAGATTTTCAGTGCAGGCTCAGATGTGGGGAGTTTGTCCAAATGTGTGAAGTGGACAAAAGTGGCGAGAGGGGAGGACTTAAGGCCCAACTAATGCTTCTTCAACTGAGTAGCCAGTCCTCAGCTTAAAACTTTCCAAGTGCTGTTCAACTGCAAAGTGCTCCCTGGGAGGAGGAAAAAACCTAAGAATTAGTTTGGTGAATTTGTTCTCCACTTACCTAAAAAAACCCAGAATACTAGGAAAGGCATTCATTATTTCACTAGGAATCCATTCAGCTCACTAAGCTCCTACCAGATGCTGGGGCAGCCTCTAGGACAGGCCCCCGGTAAGACTGACAGTCTTCTCTAGTGTCCAGAGAAGGAACGGAGAGGACTGAGCCAAGTATGTATGGATATATGTGGGGTAAAGGGCAATGGAAAAAGTAGAGGGAGAGGGCTCAGCAGCTTCCAGTGTTTACAAAGACAACCAACACCTAAGCCAAACAGAAAGACTGGAGGCTAGGCAGAGGCTCGTAACCCATATTCAGCCCATATGGGAATTAACCTAAAGTAAATTTTAAGTAAGTCACTTTGGAGTTGGAATTCTAACTCATCCACTTACCAGCTATGTGGAAGTTACTAAATCTTCCTAGGTCATAATGTTCTCGACTTTTTACTAAAAAGGGGTACAAAGGTTGTTGAGAAGGCAAAAATAAGATTACATGGGTTGAATCCCTGGTATATTATTAGACCCAAAGTCAATCCTCAACAAGTCTTCTCTTTGCCAGTCCATACGAAAGCTGGCCAGCCATGCACCTGCCCATACTCCGTGTCTGGACTGTGCCTTTCCGTGAGTTAGTTCTTCTTTGTCTTTAAAACTGTCTTCAGTGTTCACTTTAATTTTTACAAAAATATTGGGCTTTTTAAAGGGGGAAAGGGTTACTCTAAATTACTCATCTTGTAAACTGAGGCCCCAGGGAAGGAGTGTACACACTGTGGCTGGTCCAGCTGTGATGCTTCATTTCTTAACCATCCCCCCGCTATGCACAGACCACAACCACAACACACACACACACACACACATACATATACACACACACTTTGACTCAGAGTCGCTTTACTGCTTAGCTGACTAAGGGTGAGAAACTAAACTATGATTTATGACCATTCCTTCTCATTTAGGTTTCAGCAGCACGAAATCCGTTTCTCAGTACACTTCAAGGAAGAAAAGTCATTGATATTTAAGAAAAATTAATTTTTTTGAAAAGACATATGCCAATACCTCTAACAAGAATTAATAACAACTCAATTCCATATGAAACCATTTTGGCTCAATTTGAATAATTTGAGAAATACAATAATCTTTAAAAGTATCTTTTAATTTCATTATACCTTGAAGATAGTGATGTTGATATCCAGATGACCATCAAAATAAGGGGATTATAGATTATTTAGAGGTTAGAAAATGTCTATTAAAACTTGTTGGAATAAAAAGCAGACTTTTTAGATTACTGTATTTGCTGAAAAGGAGACCTATGTTTAAATCATTCTAAGAAATAAAGAATAAACAGATTTTGCTTCATGGTTCTACAAACAGCTGTTGAGTAAGCCTTCCAGGTATTTCCTGCAGGGTTTAAAAGTCTTGGGATTAAGAAAAAGAAAAGATCTTATAATGAACCTTATTAACAGAAAGAAGTGGAATAAAAATTATCTTTAATTTTTCCCATGGAAGAAGGGAAACTATAAATTGAATATTTTAAACAGACATTTAAAACAACAAAAAGAAGCTGGGCACAGTGGCTCAATCCTGTAATCCCAGCACTTTGGGAGGCTGAGGTGGGCAGATCACCTGAGGTCGGGAGTTCAAGACCTGCCTGACCAACAAGGAGAAACCCTGTCTCCACTAAAAATACAAAATTA